GCTTAAACAACTCATCGGTAAATCGTCTGCCTTATTCGCCATCGCTAACGCGTAGAGGCCCGAATATCGTTCGCGTAATCTTTCTCTCGAATACTCGAAGGGCCGCTTCATGAGATGTGTTCGTTGGACATGTCTCCCAGGCATACACCAGAACAGGCATGATGGACGACTAATAGACTGTGATTTTGTACAACGAGGAAGGACTTTACTTCTCAGATGCCTACTCAGTCCTAAGTTGCGTTTGTTGGCATGGTTGTGATTCTCTCCATACTCCAGAAATTGTAAGCTCTTGTAAAGTATTGTGCCTGAGCGGTTCAGTCCAGCAACTCTTATTATCTTCTTGAATATCAGATGAAATAATTCACATGAAATGGCGTAAACTTATTTGATACTTCGTTTGGTATCAAATGGCTCGAGGAGGAACTTCCCAATTCTGAGCAGAGCTGATGAAGTTGTATTTAAGACATTTTCACCGAATTCTCCTGGTTTTACGTGAGAGAATTCTGGCAGCTCTATTCTATACGCATACCAGTGCATACATCTTTCAGTTGACTTGTTTATTTGTTTGCTTGCTGGACAGCCGGTCTCCTGTGCCAATCGCTTGACAGTAGATATACGAGTATCTTAGGTTAGTCTGCAGACGACTTAGCTAGTAGACAAGCAACATCACTCATCAAGTAGTTACTCATTGAAGAGCGTGCACATGTGTTGAGTGCAAATTGTTGATGCTTGCTGCGAGAGCTACGATACTATTTTACCCACAAATACCTGACCTAGGTTAAATACCTAGGTTTGTACTTGTCTGTGGGACAAGTAGCCATTGCTGCATTGGAGTTGATAAGCAAACAACTTGACGGAATCACATATGATTTTTTGAACAATGCTGGCGAAAATTAACTTAAAACTTATGCACCAAAATTTTTGAGTATCTTTCCATTGTTTTTGTGCATGGCGCTCTAAATTTAATATATATGTAAATACATATGGAATTGTGGCGGTATATTGTTTTGAATTGCCTTCTTAGCGACGTGAAAATTACAGGGTATTAGCTAACATGGAAAAGAAATAAAATATGTAATAATACTTTATTTCTGCTGTAGATCTGTTTTTTTATGAGCGAGTTAAGTTATTGCTTAGTACTCCTACCATGGCATATACGATACTTTTAGGGAGTAGAAAGAAACATTCTTCTCTCAACTCGCATATTCTCTGATAGGCGTGCGGCGAGCAAAATACTTAAACTTTATAGGTCTACAATTGTCCACAAAATAATAGAAGTGAGATATTTTGACTATTTTGGACTATTTGCTTTTTGCTAATTGAATACTTATTATATTTTATAGACGTCTAGCTGGTTATACCACAAACACCCTACAAACTAACATTTTAACCTTTGCACAAAACCTATAAAAACTCTGCAGACCACAATGGTATATGAACTGGCACGGAAGGGGTCCTCCTCGTCTGCTATCAGTACAGTACAGGTATTCCGCTATCATCTTGCATACTCTGATCGGAACGTAATTTTGTGGGACGGGATAATAAAAAGTTGCTTACAGAACCCACATGAAGGATATTACGAGACATCAATTTGATAGGAGAATATCTGGCGAGCTTTTCTAACTGGATCGGCTTTGATCGGGTCTGCTTTGATCGGTCGGGCCACTGCTTGATGGGGACGCATGTCATTAAAATGGTAGTTGTCCCGAAATACCCGACGACATTACTTCCATCACTACTCTCTTACAGTTATGCCAGATTGTGGGTAATTTCCCTATATGAGGGATATTTTGCAACAAAAAGGGGCATTCTAAATAAGGAAAGGGATCTTCTTTTGACACAGTTATCGATGCATAATTGATCAAAACTCAAGAATATTCCACATTTTTATGTAATTAATCGTTCTGAAGGTGTGATGTGGAGTGAAATGATATATCGAGCCCTAACCGCCAAAATAACGTAAGCGACATTTTTTTCAAAATTTTCTTTTTGATACAGAAATGCATTTAGATGCGCTAGGAATATTTCTGCATCAAAAAAAAAATATTTGAAAAAAGTGTCGCTTACGTTATTTTGGCGGTTAGGGCTCGATATAATTATTAAAAAGTATGAGGACAATTTTGAAAATTTTCTCACGTTAACCAATTCAAGCGCTGAGTAAGAAAGAATATTTTCAATTAAAACTGGTGTTTCATGTAAAAAACGGAACAAGTTATCTGATGTATGTGCTTCAATTTTAAAGTCTCAAAAAAAAAATCATATTTGCTTAAACTATGCAAATAATTTGTAACAGTGATAGTTTTAGGAATTACCATTAAGTATACAACAATAAAAAACTCAAATATAAGTATCATTAGTTAACTTAATATGGAAAAAGTTTTTTTCAAAATCTTGGGTTGTAAAAAATACTGAAGCCAATTTATGAATTTAGTAGATTTTAATTTAATTTGTAAACTCTTTTAGGCCCTAAGTGAGTAATCTACCGACCTTTGAATTTAGAAAGAATATTATATGTGTGTTGTAGTGGTAAGCAGTGCGTGCCTCCACTCCGCAGGGCCTAGGCTAAATCCCTGGTCAAAGCAACATCGCAAAAAAAAATTTAGAACAAAGATGTTTTCTTAACTGCGGTCACCCCTCGGCAGGCAATGGCAAACCTCGGAGTGTATTTCTGCCATGAAAGAAAGTTTCTCATAAAAATACACTCGCCGTAAACCTGTAGGTCGGCTAAACACTAACATATACACATTTGTAAGTGCCAATCTATTATTATTATTTTTTATGAATGTTACTTCTTTACTACTGAAATAAATATTGTTTTGAATTCTTAGGAAATTTTTTGGGATAAATTTTTAAGATGTGGGTAATGAAGGGATTTTTTCCCGATTTTTGTGGAAAAGAACCATATACATATAGTTCTTATAATTTCGAGTATGCAGCTTTGTAGGACATAAAATTTTAATATAACTAAGTGGAAGTTTCAAGTTTCTAAAAAAGTGACACGCAGTTTTCCCGTACAAAGTATGTTCGATTTTTTTTTTTATGTATGGAAAACCCTGTCGGCAAAAAAAAAATATTCTAAAAATTTTTAGCACCTTGAAACTTAAAACTAAAATTTAGTGGTCTACAAAACTGCATACTCGAAATTATTCGAGATTATTCTAGAGATTCTTATTAAAAAGTTGTATATTCTTATGCAAAATTTTTGAGACATTTTGGTCCGCCATTTTGAAACAAACAAAAAATAGTAATTCTGAGAAAATTTGAGATGAAAGTAAATATGTCAAGGATAGTCTTTTTCCCTTTAGTCCCGTTTTGGAGATATTTAAAGGTTCCTCCTGTCACAACTTATCTGGGCTCAAATTTGTATGCAGGGCAAAATTTTGCAAAATTGGTTTTCCCCAATTAAACACTCACTTAAACACCAAAAGAGAGGTTTTACTTTACACTACCACTCACACAAAACATCTTTATCTTTAGTTTACTAGGGTTTTGAGATGTAGTATATTTTTCATCAAAATAATGAAGAGGAGAGTAGAAGTTGCGCGCAAAAGAATGAATAAATTTGTTATTGTGTGTTTAAAGCAGCAAAATATAAGAGAAGCATTTTGAGATGGTATACATATGTACATGCATAGTACAAGTATATACAAATACTTATTGATTTATCTACACCGACAAATTTACAAAATGCACGCAGATGCAAGACTGTATAGTATAGTTTTTGAAAATCCTTTATCGTTGCTTATCCAATGAAATGCTGGATTGGTTCAAAAAACCACATTTTCCTCTGACAGTTAGACATCCACTTCACAAATGTGGTTGGACTTACATTTGCATGCCCACACCTCTTTTGGATACTTTTCTCTGTATATTGCACTCGAATATTAGATTTCTTTTTCTTATTTTTTGTTCGCTTTTCGTACGCAGCGATAATATCATTTGAGCAAGTAACAACTAGGTGGACATGTAGCTATTTTTTGGCACTAGATACGAAAGTGGATGGGCGCCAACAGCAATTTGCGAAGTTCCTAGAAAAGTGTAACTCGACGCCAGTGTGCAAGTTGAATAAGTAGAGTAGAGAAGGTTATAGACTGCTTAAGCATAATGAGAATAGGCGTGAAAGATTGAGTTAACTAAGCGCCCAATACATATACATACACGTAATTTTACCGCATACTTGACCACCAACAACTGACAGCTAACTACCAAGAAATTTTTGATGCTGCAAAATAGACAAGCTTTCGCTACTCGTCTTCTTTACACACTCGCAGTAACCAGTTAAAATAGTACTGTAAGGAAAATCTCACGTTCTGAAATGGCACAAAAAATGCCGACGCATGAACACGTTAACTTAATATTGGGTCGTAGGTTATAGATCTGTGTAGCGCTTTTTTCAGCTCAGGTCATTTCCTCAAGATATAAATTAAAAACCAGAAATAACTGTTATTTAAGGAGTATCTAATTAAATTAAAGACAAAAAATAATTGTTAAAGAGCATTTTTTTCGATAAAAGTTGTAACTGTTACGGTCTCTGGTTTGCACCCAGTATTAAGTCTATCTAACTAGTCGAAATAAAAAAGGCATGCAAGCATAGACAAAAATTCTTCTAAGCTACAACATTCAGCCAAATCAAACTTCTACTAAGTCGATATATTGTTACGGTTTAACGGACAAAAAAGACAAAGTCATTTGACAAATTCTTTACTTTATGATACCGTTAGTTATGTTATGTTAGTTATCCATTCCTTGCGCCAACAAACAGTCTTAACTCTAAATGCTTAACTTAAAATGCTTGCTTTATTATCGATCACTTTTACCGAACTGGCCGGCTTTTTACTGCAGGGTATTGCAAGCGCTAACAAATGCACATACACACAGATGTACATTATGCCCAAGGCATAATTATTTCGCCGAAGTACACGCTTAAGCTTAGAATTTCGCATTGCATAATTTTAGGCATTCGAACCCTTTGACACAATTAATTATCTGTAGCTACTTACTTTGGCGCTTCCGGTTTCAAATCGAGTAGCGAAAATTCCACATGCTTTGGGTCATCACATCCACCACAGTGCGTAAACACTGAAGCCTTAGTGTCCGTGCGACGGCCGCCAACGATCAGTGTGACCATTGGCAGCGCCTAAGGGCAGGCAAGAAAAGAAAAAAATATCTGCGTAAGAGCAAGAAACTACGATATAATAATAAAAGGCAAGCAATTCAAGAAAAAAGGCTTTGGCGAATCGTCAATTTAAGGCTTTAGCTACAAAAGAGCAAAAAAATATTTTTTATTTTTCTTCTTTTTCTCTACATTTAACGCTCAATTTTCTAATTAGTAGTTTTTCACCGCTACTGAATACCTTTTTCTCTCTTTTTTTGTTCGCCTTTGTCCGTTTGCTCTAAATTTTTTCATGTAGCTGGTTTAATTAGGATTTTAGTTTTTTCCCGTATTTTGTACTTACCATTGGCAGGACAAAACCGTCATTGTAGTCGATATGTTCACCAATCAAATTAACACGTCCTGGTGCACAGCAGGCCAGTTCTGGATCAGCGCCAAAAATTTCATGATATGTCGATTTGGCCAATGCCAAAATTTCTTCAAACGTGGCTAGTTTGGTGACGGCAGGCATTATTATTGTCTCNACTTGTTACTTGTAGAATGTGCAATGCTGGGGTTAATATTCACCAGCTAGTGATTGCTGATTGCTGCTAATTAGTGGCACGTAGAAACACGAGGAGATTGAGTAATTAGACTTGCTTGAAAATTTTCTGATAGACTAACTGTGTACCACTTTTTTGGATAATTACTGCAAAAAAAATAAATACAGTAAAGAATTGTCTTATGCTTGTTTGAATATAAAATAGCCTGATATTTGCTTTGCGTGTTTTTTCTTTGGTAAAAAGTATGATTTAGATAGGTTAGGTTGGGCACAGCTGGGAACTGTCCCCAAGCCTAATGTACTGGCCTTACACAGTAGTTGTTAAGCCTATTCTGCTTTATGCGATATTGAAATGGTGACCAGGTCTCAGCAAAACTACAACTGAAGCACTTCAAAAGGTGGAAATAACTACGTTGCTCTGCATGTTCGGCGCTTTTCTCACAACTCCATTAGTGATAATGTGCGTCTTACCCAATATTTTGCCAATCAACATTGTTTTAAAACAGTTAACAGGCTGGAGAGACATTCAGGATGGCCACACCGCAATCTTAATAAACACAGATATACCGGGCATAGATTACTGTACCAATACTATACTTCACAAAGAGGCATGGGATTTTTATTCCAGATAGTGCACTTTAGTCAGGAGGGACGCCTGGTGAAAAGGGATCACTCCACTTCTACACCGGTGGTTTTAAACTAAAGTGCAAGGTCGAATGAGGGTCTAGCCAGCCCGACTGTGCAGCGTATATTGCAACGTCTTTCAAGCTGTCATACAGGAAGACCACTGAACGAGAGGGCTGAGCAGTACGCTCTCCACATGGTGTGGATGCCGAGGCACCAAAACATACCGGGCAACGAAAATGCAGGCGAACTTGCAAGAAAGGGCATTCCCCCATCTAATTTAGAAATCCTTAAAGGGAATGGAAGCAAGGAACAGGTGGGATAGCCTCACAGCTTGCAACGATATAAACATACATACTAGGTGAAGTAGGATTACGGCAACATTTGAGTTTCGCAGACTTCATACGATGTATCGCGATGGTTTAAGTAGGACGGTTCTAACCTCACGTGTGGTATCACAAAGAGCTTAAAAATCGTTAGGGCCCAGGTGTACTACCGAGTAGCATCACTGAGTAATTGTGTACGATAAGATTTATCGATTTATCCTTTTAGCTAATTTAGCTGGACCTAATGTCCCGCCAACAGAGCTGTTCAAGTACGGCAGAAAGTTTTTGATAATGTGCAGGCATCAACTGTTATGAAGAATATGGCTTGCGCTCTGCCCCATCCACAAAAAGGCGATCCTGCCAAATGCGCCAACTACCGTAAGTTCCTCCTCGAATTGTATGAAAGACTGAAGCCTACTATCACCTTATCAATGCGGCGGAGACCAGGTATTTATAATACGTCAAATATTGAAAAAGACACGTGGAAGAGGATTGACACAGAATGTGTATTTTGGCGATTTCAAAGGCGCTTTTAACAGCAAAACAAGGAGTTGTATAACAATAATAAGCGTTGGGCCGAGCTTCTCTTCCAATTTTCGCTAGACGTCTTGATGTTGTTACGCAAATGCCGAAAGGCAAAGGGATTTTATAAAAAGCCTTTTGAAATACGATGGTAGGAGATTTAGTTCGGATTAAAGTCCCACACTGACGGGATGTATGGCGGTTACAGCATCGATCGAGAAGAAAAAAAGTTCAAGTTCATACGCCCGATTTTCATTTTAACTCTCATAAATCGCATTTATTGACTATTGTTAAAATTTTAAATTAAAACTTATCAAGATATTCTGTGAGTCTAGGAAAAATTGTCTATAAAGATTTAATATTTTACAATCAAGAATGAATTTCGTGGTTTACTTATTTTCGTTTTAGCGTCACTAATTCATATAAAATATGAGCAGAAACTAATTTCATTTAAAGAAATGCAGAATATAAACCTTTACTGTTGGCATCATTAGAACGCATAAAATAAAGCTTTTGTTGCATATTTCTAAACGCAGTAATATTGATGCGGATATTGAACACACCGCTGTTATAAAACCCCATGAAACAAACTGTTAAATAATGGATTGCCGTCGGGTTCTAAGCTATGCTTAAACCTTCCAGTTTGAATTGATTTCAAACATTGTACTGAAATCCGGATAAACAAAAAAAGCTAGTTTATATGAGCGTGGTAATAAGACATCTCAATGAGCTTTTTCTTGAAGCAAGTAAGCATAAGGTTACAAAAATAAAAACTTTATCCTCCTCTTATAGCATTTTTTAATTTTTATCGTTTATTAAAAAAAATAAATAAAAAATCAAGCAAAAAGTGCAAAAATTAAAGCACAAGTTTCCTGATTCACAACAAAAATTAGGCTGTTCATAAATTTGTTCGCTTAGGCTCTGTAGCTGCATTATTCACCGTACTTACTCCAACGCAACGTTTCGCTCTGTTTACACATGAGCAGAGATCAGCGAACGCTAACAAAGCAAACGACCACCACCCAACGCCAGAAACTTTTCAAATAACTAAAAGTCTCAAAAGTGTTTTTAAAGGCATCATAAAAATAATAAAAATTAAAATAGAAGTAACTAAAAAGTAACTTTAATGCAAACGTGTCGACGCACATAAAACAATTTCGCAAAAAGGCAATAAAACCATGAAGATAAAATCGCGAAGGCAAAGTAATTTAATCACACACACATGAAGTCTTTTATGACTTTCCGGTTCATCCTGCACTTTAACGGACTCTTATAAGGGTAAATTGAAAGTTTTCTTCGTTTATTTAAAAGGCAAGGTTTAG